AATATTTCTTAAAAATTATAAAAAATAAATCCATAGAATTTTTTAGCAATTTATCCTTTTGTAGAAAAAGTTATTATAGAAAAAGTAATGCCAATTATTGAAATTATTATCTACCATTTCGTTTGTATTGTATGCAAAAATGTATGTCCACTCAAATATATTAATTTATGTACAAAATGATTATGTACAATAATATATTTTGAGATGTGTGTTCTAAGCATGATTTATCGAAAATATCGAATTTAAAATTGGGGAACTACTATGAAACCAAATCAGAATGTGTTGTAGTCTTACATATCGTACGCATAAAAATGTGCTGCTGTGGATACATCATTGTAGTAAATTTGTTGAAACTGTACTGGTAACAGATCTTGTATTCTGTAAGACGGTCTGTAAAAAGTACCTCCTATAAGTAAAATAATATGGAAAACAGAATACCGATACGAAAATCTCTTGATATCTTTCGATCAGAGTATCGGATTGATTGCTCCGCAACTATCTAATAACTTTAATATTCTCTACCGAAGAAATTTTACATCATTAAAATGAATCCTAATCTACCTTGGTGTGAGAGGTTGCACCGGAGTGGCTGGTTCCAGACGTATTCTCGGACTCGGCGGGCAAGGTTCCACCTCGTCTTCCACGTCCAGAGCCTCGGTATCCATCGAGGAACGTTGCTGATGTTGCAAAAGCAGGAGATGTCTTCTCCTCGAGGATGGTGTCAGTAAAGCTAACGAATCAGCTTGAAGAACTGTCGCTTGTGATTCGTTCCATATTCCGTCGCTGTGGTCCCTGGTCACGTCATTCGTTAAAGAATCACTGGAGGCAAACGGTGAAGTCACCTGGCCGACGATACTAGTACCGGCGACGCCGGTTCCAGTACTAAAAGCAGGCGGATAGACTGCAGTGTGCAGTAAAGCGCAGGTGGGTAACGAATCGTCCTTCGGGGTCGTCTGCGAAATTCTTCGTGTTGCTAAAAAGTAATCGTTGATTACATTCTACAAGAATTTCTTCATCGACACTAGCATAAGTGGTTATTAATTGCATTATAATACACACTTGCTGCTGCGGTTGGCGACGTAGGAGAAGTTGGAAGTGACCTAGGAAGCATAAAATCATCTGATGATAGACCTTGTACACCATCCTCAAGGGATACGCTTCTTTTTCGAAAGAGACCCCGACGTATTAGATTTTCGTGGAACTCCTAAAAAGATGTAATTATTTTACAAAAATTTTACTCGATATATTACGATCAATTTCAATCTTTAAAATACGTTTCAAAATGTTTACTTACCTCCTCGTGATGATCCTCGTGAGGCGAGAGGCTTCGCAACAAAGATAGATCCTCGGGTGTCGAGGAAAATTGGACGGGTGTTCTGACAGTTCTGCCCCAAGAATCCTGCTGATTCCTTCTGCAAGTGTGAGGATAACTCGGCTCGCTACTTTCTCCAATAAGTTCACGTCTCTCGACACGAATTTCGCCATCGGAGAAGGTCTTCTGGAGAGGAAGGAATCGACGAGAGGGCTCGGAGATCCGGCTAAGAAGTGCGCGAGCATCAGGCGACACCGGTGCCGGTTTGAAATTTATAAAAATCTCCTGATCGTCTACATCGAGGGATTTACGATGTTGATTACACTGGAATAAAAACATAGAATAGATAATTTACTATCAAATGATTTACTATCACTATTTACTCTTTATCGGTTCGTTGAAATTATACATATGTTGTGTCAAATGTAAAAATGTGCATGATTTCTACACTTCCGGA